TTACATTCGTAACCTGGAGACGTATTTCAGCAGCCATTACTTGAGTTTTCAGAGTCAAATGATCCTTCAGATCCTTCATTAATCACAATATGCTGATTTAGTGTTAAAATAATAGGATTCTTTAGAAAATATTCTATTCATTAAAGAAACTTCAAAACAACAGTATTTTGTTAATTTTGAAAATAAAAATAAGCAAGTAATTAATAAATAAATAAATCTGACTCACCCAAAGCTGTTTAACGGTGTATTTATATTAACATATAACAACTTATAAAAAGCAATCATTGAGCAATGAAGTGACTTTGGGTAAATATCACCTTAAATCTCATATAAATCCAATACATAATTAATTAATTGTGTGATTAATGGCCTAACAAATCTGAGTGTACATATGTGCACAATTTAACAAAGTATTAAGTGTAAACTGATTTATAAAGATTAATGAAGTGCAGATAAATAGCAACTAAAAAAATAGGTATTAATACTGTCACTTGCAAAAAATAAACAATTAACAAATAAACAAAAAAATTATAAAATAAATAAAAATCATTGACCCAACTCGATTTACCCCTTCCTCCCTCCATCTCCTCTGCGTCTCCCACTTTTCCTGTTCCTGTTCTGCCTGAGTTCATGTCTTTAATATGGAGTGCTGCAGACAGGAGCCGGTGCACTGACCTGCTGTCTACTCTCAGACTATTAAAACCTGGCCTCTGAGGATGTGCGCTGGAGCCTTTTTTTCAGCCTGTCCCTCTCTCTCTCTCTCTTTCAACCCTGATTTCAGTTTGATCTACTAAGTGTGCCGGGCAGCCCTGCGTCTCCGCAACGATCAGCAACAGCACCTCCAATCATTACAAATATCGATGATTGCTTCAAATGACGAGACGTCAGTGCTTGGAGTGCTTCCTGATCCCCACTTGACAGCCACACGCGAGTCAGCTTAAAAGACTTACTGGCGGTAAACGTGGGGTTTCCTAGTCAAGCCTGCATCGCCGTGAATCCAGATGGTTATCGAGAAAGCACCTCACTGCAGATAAAAGCTCATCCATTATGAGTAGCCTGACACTGATCAGCTCTTTTCACTGGAGCTGCTTTTGATTAGTGCATGGATCACGTCGTATGGATGAATGGAAGGTGAATTTTCGTTAAAAGCAGCATACTGTAAACATCTAGACATGTGTGGTCCTGTTTGGGCTCAGAACTGAAGTCGGTCAACTTTCCTGATGTCAGTGCACGGAGACATAAAGTCCTATATCCTATAAAGTGTTCTTAAAACAACATACTTTCCTTATGTGCTGCAGAATGTAGGAATTATACAGAGGAGAGCCCTAAATTTAATTTGCCACGCTATTCCGCTGAATAAACAATGGTGAAGTTATGTGCATTCCCCTCATAAAGCAAATCTAATAATCCTCATTATGGATAAATACTAGGCCAAATGAAATGTTTCTGTTTAAGGCAGGCTTTTAGAGGTAAAACTACATCAACACCAATGTCAACAACACAGGGTGAAGAAAGTGGATCTTGACAGGTCTGATGGTGACACAGGATTCCAGTTTGGTTAAAATGAACGGCGGCTCAAACAGAAGATAGTTTTGGATTGTGTGGAGCACAATTGTAAAACTATTCATTTATGTGTTTCAAATGTGTTTATAAGTTCATATCCGTGAGATCTATTTTATCTGGCTTAATGTTGCAGGGTTGGGCCGCGGATATTAAACAGTCCAAACTCTTTCAGATGAACATACAAATTAATTAAGACAGAGTTATGTGAGAACTAATATATATATATATATTTGGGCATTGCGATTTTAGTTCCAATATTTTTTTCTTTAATATTTCTATTATTTAAGGGGATTTTACTAAATATTAACATCAGGTTAGATACAAATTCAGTCTTATTAAAGTATTTTATGCCACAACATGGTACTTGCCTAAAACGTCATAGTGTGTAGTTAATAGATTATATTAGGCTGCAGTGCTATAGAGACTAGAGCGCAATTATGTTGTGCTTATGTGATTGTCGGTGGCCATCTTGAGAAGCGAGAACGCTTCGAAAAATGGCTCATAAAAAGGACGAGGACGTGAATGCTTTTTACAAGTCGAATTTAAAATTACGATAATATGGCATGAACATTTTACATTAAATTATATCAGTGAGGGGGAGCTGTAGGGAAGCGCGCAGCGAGGCGTGCAACAATATTACAACCACTCTATATCTCTAGTCATTTTAATAGGCCTATGCAACTAATTTAATATTTAGATTTGTTAAATATTGTGTGCTAGGACAAAAATTAAGTATCCTGTGGATGATCGAGGGGCACAAGAAGAATCTGGATGGGCACAAGGAGAATCTGTATGGCATTGCCTCCTAGCCCCCTTAGATCTGGCCCTGCGGCAAGGGGTGCTGCAGCACCCTCAGCACCCCTAGTTCCCGCGGCTATGTAGTTTGTTATGTTTTAAAGCCAATGTCTCACTATAGCCGACTCGAAACAAATGGGTTTTTCCTTCCATAGAACAAAAAAGCTGAATTTTTAAAGAATTCCCCCACTGTTTTCTTCCATACAAACAATGAAAGTAGATATGGACCAGAACTTTTTTTTAACCCTATAAAGCCTGACATATTAAATAGATAAATAAATAAATAAATAAATAAATAAAATCACTTTTTATGGAACAGTTTATTTTTATATAATATTTATATAATATTTTATAATCTATTTGTTTTATTAAAAAATAAACAAGTGCCTCTAACACTAGCATTCTTTATTCTTTGTCTATTCTATCTACTTGTTTTCTTTTTATTTATTACATTTAAAAAAAACTTGCTATGTATACTGCGTTAGGCAGTATCTTTTGTTTGCTTCTATTGTCCTCATTTGTAAGTCACTTTGGATAAAAGTGTCTGCTAAATGTGTGTATATATTTACTCATATTAGTATCATATAGGAGAATATAGAGCTCATACTCAAGCAGGAAAAAAAAAAACCCCACCTCCATTTTATACAGAAGCCCAAATTGAGCACATATATGCAATTTAATTGATAAACAGTTGAACGACAGATAGATCTCACTTGACAGCTATAGTCACCATAAATTTTTTTGTATGAAAATAAAAGCTTGGATGTTGCGAAGTATGAATTATGATAAATTATGATAAAGTTTGCATTCGTTGTGAACTATCCCTTTAAAAAATAAGCCTCATATACTATGTGTGTGCTTTTACTCAGACCGCATTCTGTTTTATGTGCTCCCTTCCCATCTCTCCAGCAGCTATGCTCTGAGCCTCCTCCTGTTATTGTTTTCATCTTGTGTCTTTCAGACGCTAAAACAAACAAACACTCTGCTGGTGTATTCTTGTCCTCATGCACCATGACCTCTGTGTCTTTGTTTGAGAGCCTTAGGAGCTCCAGCTATCATCAGCATCATCTTAAGCCAGCGTCCCACTAGCCGTTTTTTCATGCGTACGCTTCATTTACATAGTCATTGGAGAATCAGAGGGAGTCTCTGCCGTGTCTCTCTGCGGGCGAGTGTTAACAGCCCCAGCAACCCAACTCCCTGCCGACCCTCTGATAACATCTAGCAAGTCTGGAAGTATCAAAGGCAGTCAGATGTGGCTTTGGCAGAGACCAATGAGCTCTTCTCACAATGAGAATCTGATTTGACACTGTCCGGCTCTGATCTGATCCAAACATTTCCCTCACAAACGCCAGATTGGTTTACTCTGATCATTTTATCCTAATCGAGTACTGCAGCAATGATATCAAAACCCAAGACCGATTCACCATGGGGTCAATTCATGAGTAAAATAAGGTCTGTGGTAAACAGAATTTGACTTGGACGTTTTGTTGTGAACGTAAACTGCACACACTCACACTCCAAACGTTCTTATGTAGTTCCTTATTAGAAACATATGTTTTTAAAAATTAACATAACTGCTTCAAAATGAGCATTTTCAGTATGGTTGTGTGTAATTTACCACAAACCTTCACTCTTAAAAATAAAGCTTCCAAAAGGGTGTTTTTGCAGTGATGCCATAAGAAGAACCATTTTTGGTTCCCCAAAGAACCTTTCAGTGAACAGTTCCTAAAAGAACAATTTTGAAGAACATTTTAGAAATCTAAAGAGTCTTTTTCGACTATAAAGAACCTTTTCTGTATTTGAAAGGTTCCATGGATGTTTAAGGTTCTTCATAGAACCATTGATGCTAATAAAGAATCTTTATTTTTAAGATTGTTGTTCTAGTAATATTTTGAAAAAGCCATATCGAAATCCATAGCGAATTAGTTTTCCAGATTTTGACGTCACAACTGCAGCACTCTATTCTATTCTAGTAATGTAGTTTGTAATATTTTATGTTTTTTTTATGTTTTATAATGAACTTTGTGTGACAGTGAATTTTACATTACAGAGAAATGTAAAAATATTTATTTAGTCTGTTTTCCATTCTTAATCATTGAATAACAGGAGCAGTTTCAGCAAAACCTGACCAGAAATGTTGGAAACTAGATGAAATAAAATAATTTTAGTTTTTTTTTAATATATATATATTTTATTTTTCAGTCAACGTTTATTTTATTTTAAGTAAAATTTTTTTGGTTATACTTTTAGTTTTTATTTTAGTTATCTATAATAACCCTGCAGTGAGTAAACAATGACAGAATTTTCATTTGTGGGTGAACTATTCCTACAACTTAATTCAAAGTTCAGTCCCTTCTCAGTTGAAAATGATTTTGAGCATGCAAAATTGGTTTTCAAGTGCAATATGAGGTCCATGACCATTTTATACACAAAATCAGTTAACCCCCCCAATCTACCCAGAAGTTGAACACCACTGATTGGATGTGACATTCTCTAATAAAATTTCCGACAAAGCCTGCATACAGTTCACTCCAGTGGTTTTTACTGGGAACACACAGCCTTCACGCTTTTCTTACTTCACAGAACTAGCAGGACAGAGCGAGAGAGAGAGAGAGAGAGAGAGAGCGAGAGGGTCACCTTACCATTACAGCTGTGGCTGAGGGCAGGCTGCGTTACGGGTCTATAGAGAGCGGCCGTGTACTCTTCTTCCGAATCAGAGTCCTGTGCCGCCTGCGTGGTGGCATTACTTAAGACGGAACTCTGGTTGTCATGGAGATTGGGTGAGGGTGGTTGAGAATGGGAATGCTCAGTGACTGATGGACTGGAGAGAGAGGATGGCATGGGAGAACCTAAAGAAAAGAAAACCAATTTAAACCAAAGGAAAATAAAAAAAACTAACAACCGCAAATGAAAAGAACAAACATAGAGCAGCTACATTAAAAATTGCATTACTGTAAATAAGAAAAAGTAAATATTTTTTTTCTTATTTTTAAAAAATCAAGTTTGAGTGATTTTCTTCTTGCAAATCAAAACCAAAGCACATGATCATGAAGCTGTATCAAATGCATGCATTAACATAAACGCAAGCAGCGTGAACAAAAAACATCAACTGCTACCAAACAAAAACAGCAAAGAATGATGGTTTGCAGCTTAAGCATTCTGTTTGTGATGTTTCTGCTCCACTAGCTGTGGTCGCATGGAAGTTGGAAATGTTCTCCACAGAGCCCACAATTGTCTTTAAGGCCACAGCATTGGTGAGTTGTGAGGCCGAGGAAACCACTCTCTCACACACACAAAAACAAACACACACACTTGCTTTCATTGGCTGCCAAATTCACTTTATCTCCATCTTAGATTCATTTACCATCAAATCAGCCATTAAGAAATGGACGCTGGTATGGGCACACACACACACACACACACACACACATACACACACACACTTAAAATATTAAGGCAAGAACATGAGTAAAGACTTCAAAAGGACTTGAAATAAAAAAAATAATTTTCAGCTAACAAAGTGATATTCTGTAGTAAAGCAGCCTGATGTATAGTGAGAGAAAAGTATTTCATGCATGCTATTCATCTGAAAATGTTTCCATCCTGTTTACATTTTCACAGTCTTGTTATGTGAAAAAGCTTTGCTCTTTTCTCCACACATATCTACAGTATCTGGAGCCGATCTCACACACACATAATCACCTTCCCAAACCAGGACAAAAAACTGACCTGGGCTCAGTGCCTCCACTTAGCATATAATAACAGCTTATCAGACATGGTCAAGGATCCCTGATCTGGGAGCAGTCAAAGGCAAAGAGTGAGGGCAATGAGTGAATAGTAATTAAACTGACTGGCTCTCAGCTCCCTGTCAGGGGTCTGGACACACTCATGAGACAGTGAGCAAAGTCACCTCTGCTTCCTTGGCGTGTGGCTTTGGAGTCCTGGACACAGCCTTCTAATTACCTTCGACTCTTTACATTACACTGCATTGTGAAAGAGAAATGGAGAAAGGCAAAGGACACGCAGATGAAAAAACAGTGTGTGTGTGTGTGTGTGAATGATAGTGAGAGAAAAAGAAACAGAGATGCTGAAAGAGCAGGGGAGAATTATTATTTTGTAATTATTGCAAGCTTTATTTATATATTTAAGATATGAAATACAATTACAGGCAGATCTTCTGGGAGCAGGGCTCACACCAGCCAGCCTGCCCATCCCAACCAACAAATTAAGTGCCATTAACATTATGTGCTGCCACTGATACACCACTGTGTGTGTGTGTGTTGAATCTACTGTGCTCAGACCAACTGACTAAAGCAATAAAGTGTTCACTCTTGGCTGAACACTGATATAAAGATACACATTAAATGGTCTCTGATTCACCACTGCATTCATTACACAACAGACACGGCTGTGATTGGTCACAGTGCTCAACCGCTGAAAAACAACTTTCACAATCAATTAATCACAGCAGATGTAATTGCAATGTTGATAACTATTTATTTAATTAACTGTTTTACCTTAATATATTGTTGACTTTTTTGTTTGAGTTTGTATGTTTAGAACTGAATTTAGGGGCAATTTAAATTTACATTTGTCAATCATATAAAAATTGTAATTTCATGGAGAAAGAGTGTTATAATGTATATAAGTCAGCTAAATAAATGTGGAAACATGGTTATTTTAATTTCTTTATAATTTTGTAATTAATTATCAGGGTTTAAAAATAAGTCACTAGAAAATAAGCAAAACCCCCAAACTATCAGTATCATGAGATTACATGTTAGTATTAGTAATAGTTTGGTATTTAAACACAGTTTTTGCATTAAATCTTTTCAGAAATAATTGTAACCATAGTTATAATAAATTATAACGGCATACATATTCATGGTTATATTATTATAAAGTATAATGCATTATATAATATTACACAATCAATGGGGTGTTAATTGTGTTTTAACACATTATACATTTTAAAGGTGCAACTTTTACACCTTTAAAATGTATTCGATAGTAGCTGAAATTATTCATGTGAACATTCAGCTGATTAAAAGGTGTATTATTACAACTGTAATATAACAAGTATGCCTTTTTAAAAAATATTACATGAGCAAGAAATGTCTGGGATTCAGCGGTAGATAATATTTTGTACTACAGCACGATTGTGAGTGTGATATTACTTTCATACAAGAGTTCAATAAACAGTACAGATTCAGTTAAGTTCAGTACAACAGCACTAAAATCACTTCAAGTAAAGTGCTACTGATAATACTATAAAGCTTCAGACGGTTTGAAGCACACAAGCCTTTTATGGTGAGGAATTCAGCTGCTGAATGGACTGAGGGAAGCGAGTATGCAGAGGGCACTGTGTAATCCTGGTTTCGCAGCTTTTTTAAAATTCATTTCCTCTATCTCTTCGCCTCTCATCCCGCTTCCATTCGTCCTCTCTCTCTGTGATAACCAAAGTTCTTTATGTGGTTTCATGCCAACCTGCTCCATCAGCACTCCTTACCGCCTGCTTCACACACACACACACATGAGGAGATCAAACATAGATTGACCCGCTCTCTCGTGTGTAATGATTTGTGCGAGCAGATGAAGAAGTTGAACACGGCACATAATCCAGTGCAGCTGTCAATTAAAGTCGAGAGCAGAAAGACGAGATCAAACCGCTGTTGAAATAGCAGGATGGGAAGTGTTATCTTCTCTATTGTTCCAGTGCACAAACAAATCAACTCATAAACACAATGAAGAATTTGTTATTTCAGTGAGAAAAAAAAAGAGGTGGAGGAGTACTCTCATGCTAGTGAATCAATTCAGCCATAATAAACAACGATAACAAATGGAAGCAATCAGCTGTCCGACAAAGAATTTGTGCACACACAACTCATCAAAAAGCTCCACACTCTACAAATGACGTTCTTAGACACAACGTGAGGTGAAATAAATGATTAGCATTAATAATTTAAATTTAAAAGTTTTCCGCTGCGTGTTCATTAGTCTAATTGTAGGCAGTTTGTAGTTGCTAAGCAACATCACCGTGTGCATTAATACAGAAAGTGCACAGGTGTGAGTTTATTAGCATTTCACAATAGCTTTGAATGCTTCTTATCCTATTAAATGGTGGAGTCAGAATTATGAGTTTCATTAGCTTCCAAACCCCTTGGAATAAGCTAAATCAACTGCGTTGCACACACATATGGAGCTCTATGCTTTAAATACAGCATACAGCACCCAGCACACACACACACACACACACACACACACACACACACATACACACACAAACACACACACACACACTTAAAATATTAAGGCAAGAACATGAGTAAAGACTTCAAAAGGACTTGAAATAAAAAAAATTATTTTCAGCTAACAAAGTGATATTCTGTAGTAAAGCAGCCTGATGTATAGTGAGAGAAAAGCTCATATTTCATGCTATTCATCTGAAAATGTTTCCATCCTGTTTACATTTTCACAGTCTTGTTATGTGAAAAAGCTTTGCTCTTTTCTCCACACATATCTACAGTATCTGGAGCCGATCTCACACACACATAATCACCTTCCCAAACCAGGACAAAAAACTGACCTGGGCTCAGTGCCTCCACTTAGCATATAATAACAGCTTATCAGACATGGTCAAGGATCCCTGATCTGGGAGCAGTCAAAGGCAAAGAGTGAGGGCAATGAGTGAATAGTAATTAAACTGACTGGCTCTCAGCTCCCTGTCAGGGGTCTGGACACACTCATGAGACAGTGAGCAAAGTCACCTCTGCTTCCTTGGCGTGTGGCTTTGGAGTCCTGGACACAGCCTTCTAATTACCTTCGACTCTTTACATTACACTGCATTGTGAAAGAGAAATGGAGAAAGGCAAAGGACACGCAGATGAAAAAACAGTGTGTGTGTGTGTGTGTGAATGATAGTGAGAGAAAAAGAAACAGAGATGCTGAAAGAGCAGGGGAGAATTATTATTTTGTAATTATTGCAAGCTTTATTTATATATTTAAGATATGAAATACAATTACAGGCAGATCTTCTGGGAGCAGGGCTCACACCAGCCAGCCTGCCCATCCCAACCAACAAATTAAGTGCCATTAACATTATGTGCTGCCACTGATACACCACTGTGTGTGTGTGTGTTGAATCTACTGTGCTCAGACCAACTGACTAAAGCAATAAAGTGTTCACTCTTGGCTGAACACTGATATAAAGATACACATTAAATGGTCTCTGATTCACCACTGCATTCATTACACAACAGACACGGCTGTGATTGGTCACAGTGCTCAACCGCTGAAAAACAACTTTCACAATCAATTAATCACAGCAGATGTAATTGCAATGTTGATAACTATTTATTTAATTAACTGTTTTACCTTAATATATTGTTGACTTTTTTGTTTGAGTTTGTATGTTTAGAACTGAATTTAGGGGCAATTTAAATTTACATTTGTCAATCATATAAAAATTGTAATTTCATGGAGAAAGAGTGTTATAATGTATATAAGTCAGCTAAATAAATGTGGAAACATGGTTATTTTAATTTCTTTATAATTTTGTAATTAATTATCAGGGTTTAAAAATAAGTCACTAGAAAATAAGCAAAACCCCCAAACTATCAGTATCATGAGATTACATGTTAGTATTAGTAATAGTTTGGTATTTAAACACAGTTTTTGCATTAAATCTTTTCAGAAATAATTGTAACCATAGTTATAATAAATTATAACGGCATACATATTCATGGTTATATTATTATAAAGTATAATGCATTATATAATATTACACAATCAATGGGGTGTTAATTGTGTTTTAACACATTATACATTTTAAAGGTGCAACTTTTACACC